AGAAGTACATATGAAAACCAGTGCAGCACTGTACTAGGTGGCACCGCATACTTTGACACCAATACTGGTGTGCGCCAAGGAAGCGTCCTTTCTCCACTCCTCTTCATTATTTACTTTAACCATACAATCCAGGTCATAGAAAGAAAGGACTTTGAAATAGAACGATTTGGATATGCGGATGACATCGCACAGACTGGGAATAGCATACGGAAACTACAAAGAGTTATGTCCCAGTGGGATCAAGAACTGTCTAGAGCGAGCTTGAAACTAAGCTATGAGAAAACAGAGTATATGAGAGTCGGCCGAAAACAAAGTAAGGGCTCCATATCGGTCAACAACCATACTCTCAAACGAACAACTAGCTTCAACTACCTAGGCAGTAAAATGACCTCTGATAATATGACTGAAGAGGAGATTAACAACAGGATCACCAAATTCACTAAGAACTTATGTGCCCTTTATCCTCTACTGAAAGAGAAATGCATACCCAGAGACGTTAAAACCTGTATTTATACTACAATATTGAGACCTGTATTGTTATACGGAAGCGAAATCTGGACTCTAACTCAAAAACTAAAAAGTAGGATACAAGCTACTGAAATGCGAGTGTTACGACTCATCTATGGTGTCACAAAAAGAGACAAAATCAGGAATGACATCATCCGTGGAGCACTTTCAGTTGAGTCAGTACTCTCCATTGTGGAAAGAAACCAACTGAGATGGTTTGGACACCTACACAGGATGCCGGAAGATAGGGATGTGAAGAGAATCTTTAATTGGAAACCCAAAAAGAAAAGACCAGCCGGCAGGCCAAGAAAAAGATGGTTGGACCAGATCATTGAAATCACCAGAAGAGAAGAGCCAGACTTCCAAGTAGTTAAAGAAATAGCTGAAGATAGAACAGAGTGGAAAAGACTGACCAAGAGGCTGACAACTTACAGGCCTAAGGCCTAAAGGCGTCAGGGTGAGAAGGTGAGACATGTATAAAAGTACTATTATATAAAACACTGTAATTATAGAACAACGTGTTTGGGGGTCCAACCCCGCACCACTTGTTCCTTACATGAAAAGCTATCCAGCTACTATCCAGTCAAGGCCAAATAGTTCTGCTGCAGGACTAAGGTCAGCCACAAGGAGGTTGGCATTTCACCTTGATCTTTGTCTTCATAAGACCTACTAACAAATCATAAATCATCACAATCCATAAGGCATTCTTACGTTATGCTGACCACAAAGTTGCAAACACATACACACACCCACGCACGCACGTACAGACAGACCAAAAACAATACCTCTATTTTACATGGAAGTAATTAGTAGACACTAACCACAAGCAGACGATCCAGACGATCCGGAGTTACGGGTCGTGGTACCTCCAGGGCAGTCCGTGCAGCCGTCTGACCCCGCTGTGCTACTGTATTGTCCGGCAGGACAGTCCGTGCAGCCGTCTGACCCCGATGTGCTACTGTATTGTCCGGCAGGACAGGCCTCGCAACCTGTGGAGCTTGTTGTATTGCTGTACTGCCCGGCAGGACAGATCTTACAACCCGTGGATCCTACTGCCTCGCTGTACTTTCCCGCTGGGCAGTCTAAACAGCTTGTTGACCCCCCGCCTGTGCTGTACTTCCCGGCAGGACACTTCTGACAGGTCTCTGCTGCTGAAGAATTGCTAAACTCCCCTGCTGCACACGGCACGCACATTGTCCTGTTGTCGTTACTGGCCGTTCCCGCTGGACAGATGTCTTCCCGCTCGTCCCCCAGCTTACAAGCATGGCCGGGACGACATTGGTGGCAGGTTAAGGCATTGTTGCTATCAGCTGTAAAAAAAAAATATATATATACGACTTAGCAAAAATAAAAGTAGTTTTAAAAAATAGTTTATTTTAGGAACGTGACATCTAACTTCATTTATCATTGCAGTAGCATTATGCACAAGAAGGATTTGTCGTCTCTAATTCTGTTCTCAAACATCAAGTTTGTTGTGTGTATCATTTTAGAACGTCTTTTAAAAAAGCCAACGATGCTTAGCTGTTTAACTATGTATAAAACCACTGTCTTTCAAATTTCACACGTCTATACGTCACGTTTCGGGGACAGGTATAACAGACCATACCTCACATATGGCGAAATTTTCGGATACGTTCCAAAATGATGTACGTTTTGCTATACGTTGTGTATATGACATCATTTACGTGTTCAAATTACTGAGGTAAAACAAGTCACGTTTTCAGGTAAATACGCCCTTTTTTGCCAATACCCAATGTATCCCGACCATACACGGAAATTGCAGAACCACGTGGCTCTGGCGTGTGGTGTAGCGGTAGAGTGCGCGATTCGGAACCTAGAGGTCCCGGGTTCGCGTCCTGACATGCCACGGATATTGTGCCCTTGAGAAAGGCACTTAACATGACTTTCCCCACTTCGCTCAGGTGAAAATGAGTATTGTCCTGTCATGTATTTGTACCCTCTGTTGGTGGCGGCATTAATATAAGTTGAAAAACTTGAGTGTGCCGTCACCACGTCTGGTGATTACATGTTGGAATAAAAAAAAACATGGCTCATAACTCATCAAAAACTCACCGCGTTAACCTTGATTCACCCACTGTAATTGTAGCGCACAGACCATGGGTATTGTTTTTCAATTATTTTGGTCTTTTCGCCGCTGATTTCTGTACCAAAGTCTGTGACTGCATTGTCTAGAGGGTCCATAGAATTTATTATCTCTTCCTCTTTCCCAGCTAACCGGTCAATGTAATCGGCAAATCGTAACTTTGTCACCTGTCTAACGCATACATTGTGTTAAAAGTTCTTTAGGGCCTCGTCCATAATTCTTTCTAAAATATATTAAAAATCGGGGAGGGGGGCAGAAGGTAGCCCTGGTGCACGCTTACATTCGTGCGAAACCATCTACCGATGCTGCCGTTAAGGAGTACTGCACTGATTGCCTTGTTATAGAGGTTGTCGATTGTCTATACCAAGATCATGTAGTTTATGTTGTATTTCCTCATTGTTAAACATAGTGCCGGAAGCCAGGGAACCAGCTAATCAGGGGAGAGTCATTTTAGGCATCACGGTCGTATTCATGGATCAAATTGGAATCCAATGTAAATCACATTTGATTCGTAAATCATTTTGATTCGAAAGTTAGACATGGCCTAAATCTTGTCAGAGTGTCCCGAAGACAAGTAGAACATGTCCGGCTGGCGTTCGGGAACAACATTGGGGGAAGGTCGTGAATGTGTGACAGGGCTAAATTCTATGGTCAAATTTTAAAGCAGGGGCCCGGTCGGGTTTTTGAATGAGTGAAAAATGAAAATAAATTCATATCAAAATGAGCACAGGTTATACTTAACACCGATCAGATTATTATTGGAATGAGCAGAGCACTTTGGACTAATGCCTCTAACCGTTTATAGCTTAGAGGTACATATGCAATCTTTTGTCACAAACTTCTCTGTTACATAGCGGATCATAATGACCCCCAGCGGGGGTCTTCACGCTTCGTTGAAAATTGAAAAATCTCAAGATTTATTCCAAAGATCTCAATATTTTATACGAAATCTGGAGATTTTCCATGACAATCTCAAGATCTTTCATAAAATCTTGAGATGAAAATGAAGAGATCTCAAGATCTTTCCGAGAAGGAATCTTGAGATTTTTTCCATAGCATCTCAAGATGCTTTGAAAAATATCAAGATTGTTTAAATGATCTCAAGATTTATCAAGCAAACTTGAAAGAAATGTTGAAATTGCTGCCTTAACTTGATATGAATCATTAACAAAAGTACTCCGACTGCTTCTTTTGTTACATTTGGTATCAATTCAGACCGAATGATAGGGTTTTATATGTATAAAAAAAGTACGGTAACCTTGCTATATTGGTTCGATCTTCATAATATGTCTTATGATTATCTTTTAAACTTTTAATGGGTTTGTGTGTGCCATACGTTTCGTCCTCACAAAGTACCCAGATGAGCCCCTCTTAAAAATATGAGCACATCTTATGGCAATTTTAATTTGCCTCCCAAAAAAGAATGTCTTTACTTATATACATATACTAGAGGTCGGAGATCTCATGTCTTCGTCAGAGGGACATTGTTCTAGATAATTGAACAGTGTATTCTTTCCTTTTTTCCAATAATCAATTTGGTCTAGACTACAAAAGAATCGCTGTAGTCGGCTGGACTCCTTTTTTTGTACGGAACACCCTGAAACGGTTTGCCACAGATTTACAGTCACATTGTCACCCGTGTTAGGCCCCCCTATGTTTTTCGATTTTTGACTGTTACGAGTACCGAAAAAAAAACTGTTGCAAGAAATTCTGCTTACTGTATTATGATCAAAGTGTCACGACAGTGTTGCAAAGTATAATGTGATGAAAGGGAAGATTTAGAACAGGGTGACTACTACTGTTTAGCGGAGATTTATTGTTTTTTTTACGAATACAAGACTTATTTGTTGTTGCACTATGTTATTTAATTCAATTTGTGTGCTATCATTTGTACTTGGTATTTTCCAAACCTAGATCTTCTTTTATTTGCCCTTCATGTAGCACTGAATTTAAGGTCTCCACCGGACGTCATCCATAAAAATTACTTGGTTTAGCATTAGGGAATGATCTGACGCATGTCCAACAATTCCTCCTCCCAGTAGTTATTATAGAACAGCAAACACAAAAGGTCCACTGCAGCAACGTTGGGACCCTCCATGAGGCCCGATTTCGAACTTGATCTTGGCCTCTATAACGGTAACCTGCCTACCAAAAATCATGAACATTCATTTAAATATACTCGAGTTATTTTGCTAACAAGCGACGAACACAAAAGGTCCACTGCAGTGACGTAGGGACGTTCCACGAAGCCCAAAATTGTAATCTGCCTGCCAAAAATCATGGACGTCGAATCATGCCTTCAAGAGTTATTTTGCTAAATTAGCAGTTACCCACAATACGGCGAGACAATTCCATAGTCTTTCAGACGAAGACAATAAACATGACAAACCCTTCACAGCTTTCTGCCCAGGTCTACATCCTTCTACACAGCGTCCCTCATGTTGATACTTGCAGGTGTCACAGTCTGTTGTAGCAGGTCCGGAGCAGGTCCTTTTCCCTTCATTACTGACGTCTTTACAAAAGCTGCTGCATTCTACATAGAAATATGCTTTCGCTTAAAAAAGTACATGTATTCAATAGGTAAAAAAAAATAGTGACTTGGAATATGCTAACACTGGACGGACCTTAGGTTAACAAACTTCTTTAAACAATGTTGCTGAAATAAATCTGACAAGATTGTGTGATTTAATATTATGGTAGCAATCACGAAAAAGGCGAGTTCTTTAAATAGAATAGACAATAGAATTCACAAAGCTTATCACAAAGAATGTGCCAGAATTAATTTACAATTCAGTGGAAATTAATTGACATTTACACTCTGCAGTGATTATTTACCATTTGTTGCGTAAAATATATTACAACATACTTTTGCACACGTTGTTATCATCAAAGTGTGTCAGAGGGCACTCCGTCACACAGTCCACAACACCATCAGGGCGGGTTTCTTCCATCCTCTTAATGCCTAGAGAGAAAACAAATATTAACAAAAGCACCTTTTTATTATATATAATCTTCAGGAAAATCTACTCACAACTCACACGACGCGAACGCTATATTGTTTTTATAGAACATAAATGTCATTTTAGAGCAAAAACAATACTAACTATTTTTGCTAGGGTTTAAAGCAACTATAAATCTAGTGTCTATAATACTTCTATCCGAATTCACCTTCAATATAAAACAACAAAAGACTAATCATTGAATCCGAATTAAAACATATGAAACCTCTATTGAAATAGTGTATGTACGCATTACTTACATGAACATGCTTTTGTAGTAGTGTCAGATTTCATGTGCTGTGGACACTGCGCGACGCATTCGAAATCACCAGTCTGTCCCTCTCTGTAGGGGTAGGACACCTTCATATGTTTACAGGCGATGCAGTCAGTTGGAGAGTTGGATCCACTAGTGCGGCATCCTGTGTAGAAAAAAAAAACGAAATGCATGACCTTTTCTTTTCGTACAAAATGATTCTATGGTGGCCATGTATTTATCATATTTTATCCAAGGCAGAAAACTGCACCGATACAAAAACATGGCTCGGCAAGAAAAATGAAATAGATTAAAATGGTGAATCCAGGAGTTTTCAGAATTTAAGAGACATGCCAAAAGAAATGAAGCAAAAAAAAAAAACTTGTCAAAATGGTGGTACAATTTGACACTTAAATGATGAATGCAGGATTAAATAACACACAAGATTCCATGTCTGTATGATTGCAGTGCACATGTGTTCACTGTTTTGATAATCTTCAAGGCTAGTATAAGCAATCATTAAGGTATAATACCTGACTAGGTATACGTAGCGCAACAAAACAAGCAAGCAAGGTTACATCAAAATGCAATGACGAACGTACCGTTGCACTCGGAGTGACATTTTTGTTGACAGACTCCGTTGATCACCTCCGTCCCTTCCCGGCAGATGATGAAGTCCTTTGCCGGCTTGTCCAGCAGCGACAGCCCCATCACCTTGACAGGAGACTCCCCACTGCCGAAGGAATAGTACCGCAGGGACGCCACCTCGTTGAATGTAAAACTTAACCAGACGTGGGGACGCTCCTATCATAATTTTAGTAAAAAAACATATTGATAATGTTTTGTCCAAAAAAACTATGCATTTCTGTCAATGTACGAATGCCTAAAGTTTGAACTACATATACACACCTCGTTGTCAGGCGTCTTGCCGTATTGAATGACTGTTGTCTTCTCGTCCACATCTTCAGTCACACAGACAAAGTACGACTGGTACAGGGTTGCCGAACCCAGACCGCCGGAGTTGTCATTTAGCTGGGTGGTTTGTAGTCGAAGTGCCTACATGTTTGTGTGAAACATGTTCTTACTGTTAGTCCCATTACACATTACTGTGCACAGCGGTAACTTTAGTAATACTTAAGTTTACAATATCTTAACCGAATGTATCGGAAAAAACATTCCTGATAAGTTCAGGAAAGTGTCTGCTCCAGATACAACTCTGTAAATAGTCTACAGAATAGCTTCATGCTGATATCTTAAACTACTGACATCCTCCTTACTTTTTTGTCCCATGGATGAATAGCTAAATATCTAATGCTCAGACTGATGCGCATATCTCAGCCTTTAAAAAAATCCGTGACCTACAAATCCGTGACTCCGAACAAAACTACATGTTAGTGAATGCTACTCAAGAAGAAGAATATATATAGAAAGAAAGACAAAATTATACTCTAATCCTAATTGTACGTAAAATACTTTGTGTATG